AAGATACGCACAAGAGCGCTTTTTCTCATGCGGGTTGACCTGCCGCGCAAGCGCTCTCCCTTCTCAAGCACTATGAAGCTCAATTACTTAATTAGCGCCCTAAACTCGCGTGCGTGTGATCTAACTTTTGATAAATATATTCGTATACCGCGCACCGACGCGTATATCGTCGCATGCGTGCTGTGTGTCGGTTTTAATAAAAGTGGTCACGTAAAAAATAAAAAGTTAACGTGACCAAACGCTTTAAAATGTGTTTTTGTAAAGAAAAACTGCCAAAGTTAACATGCTTCAATTTAGTTTTGTAATTTTTACTGTTACAGCCACGCTATTATTTTTAGGGGAAAATTAGTTTGAAAATGTTATTTTTCAGCAAAAATGTTTTTTTTTTTTTGCCATGTGGTCACTCTTGCTTATATCGATAGTACACAAGTACACAAAGTGTGGTAATGCATATAATGCGGATTATCATGTCCAATAATTATTCCCCAAGATTAGATAAAAATATAAAGAACTTTACGCAATCGCTTAGATGCAAACACGTTGAAAATAGATATACAGGATTTTTCTAAATATATAAGCTACTTATACAAGAGTTATTTTAAGCAAACACAAGCAAAATTTTATAATTCTAATAGCTTTCTTTGAGTTTAAATTAACTTTGATTTCAATTCCGCCTTTGAACGTCTCGACTTGGCGATACGATAATTATCTCGTATTCAAACTTCGTCGTGACATAAAGCAAACATTCTACAAAAACTCTGGTAAGATATACAGTTAGAAAATAGCTCTAAGAGATGGCACGTGTGTATGCGAGGAATAAAACGGCAAATTGATGACAATATATGCGAAGACAGTCACGCTGAACGACAAATTCCCGTGCTCATAGGCATCGACAAACAACTTGACGCTTAATCGGGACGTCGCCTGCTGCTATCAGGGGCTCATTTACATTGACCCTTAAATTTCTACGGATCGGTTGCGCGGCGGAAGGAGACCAGCGCGAGTGATTCAAGGAGAAACGACGGGAATCCTTGTCATGCCTATCTGGTTGCGCAATGACACTCGATACGCGCCGTGTTTGCGTATCGTACGCATGTTATCTTGTGCAACCGGCTTTTCCCCGTTTGGCATTTTAAGAACAAGCTGACTTATTTCGAAAGGGATAACCGTTAGAATACGCAACCTTCGACACGCGCATAAATCAATAATTTATAAATCGGTAATGTGAAGACTTTGAGATTTTGTATTCTTTAATTCCCATTTCGTTTCACTTTTGTTTAAAGTTCTGTCGTCAGAAGAAAAAAATTTATAGCTATCTTTTTAATTATTGTCTTGTTTCATTTTTCAATTATCAGAATTTGTATGGAAAGCAAGATTTCGTTGCTGTGTCAGCGGTGAAGTTCTATTGCTTTGTTTCCGAAAATATTCAATATATTCTTGAAAATATAAATTTATTATATCGGTGTGAATTAGTGATCTGACTATGCGCCGGCGGTCAAATCGTTACGCCACTTTTCTTGACCTTAGAGGCCACCAACTAGTTTCGTCTCGATGTGGGTCGCAATGACAAACCGGCCGGGCGCTGAAATTTCTTAGAGCGGCTGCGGCCGCGCGCGGGTATAATTCGAGGCGATAATGTCTGTCATCGCGACCGCACGCGCGCACCCAAATTATCGCACTCTCGACTATTGCCGCCGCAACGACTCGAGGCTCGTACATACATCACTGCTATCGAATCACCAATTCAAATCCAAGCGAGTCCTTGGCGAGACTCGACCGCGCGGTCGCGTCGCGATACTGTCGGCCCCGAGCCGTCGAGTTTTTTCCCTTCGTGAGTTATTATCAGTTCCGTATCAGTTGTGCATTGAACTCACAGATCTTATCGCGCGCACGCGGCGCCGTTATAACACGTACGGTTCTTCAAAAGGCCTGCACAGACTAGGAGAATAGCGCAGACCGTTGTTGACTATTAATCGATCGATGAAACTCTGGAGGAATGTCTTTATGAGAAAGTATTTTTACTTTCATCTTGATAATCTGACAGAAATAGCCTATGACTGTGAATCACAGTCTGTGATCAATGTGTCATCTAATTTTTCTATCGTCATCTGCTTTGCTTGCTTATAAGCGATGCAAAGAAAGAAATAATAGATCTTTAATCAAGTTTAATTATAAAGCATAATCATAATATTTTTCAATAAAATTAATCGCATTCTGGATATGATATTTTACGATGTAAACTACTATTGCTATTAAAAACAAAATCATCATTTCAATTAGATCCTTGTGTAGCGTGATTTTTGCATAAACAATTTCGGAATCCAGCTAAAGATACGTTTTGCAATCTACAAACAACGAGCCGACGTGATATCTCACGCAAGATCGATGCTTCTTATTATTTCGTGGTAGCTCATTTAAGTGCTAAATAAAGGGTACGCGTATCCCAGTTCTTTCCTAATCCGGGCGCTCGTTTAGAACTTTAGACGGCTCTTCAAGACCGCAGTCACGCACGAAGCAAGCCAGCTCACGGTGGTCCGTTCGCCGGTGTAGGACGAAAGAAGGGAAGCCGCTCCTATTATTAAGGAGGAAAGAAAATGGAACAGCGTTGGATGCGCGAGAAAGAGGAGAGAGCGTTTCTCCGCGAAAGAGCAGTTACCAAAAAGCTATGAATGCTGAACTTGCTCAAAACCGACCATCGACCAGCCGCTACATCTCCCGACCATCTGCCCCCTCGGGCCCATCTCTCCTACCTGAAGACCTGCTCACCTGGCTGGTCTCCCCTCCCCCTCCCTATCTTTATACGTTCTTTCCCCTTCCAGCCGGCAATCAGTCTCGTTCATCTTATTTTCGGACCATTCAGCCGGTGCCACCGGTTCCCCGTGGGTTACATGCCCGTTTCGTTCGCGACGCCTCCGAGGATTCTCAATGGAATTTGCCGGCGGACGCACTTTTTGCGAAGCTTCCTCTTGGCGACAACAATTGCGAATGCTGGCCCCCTCGACCTGTCCCTCGACGGTCAAATACCCTTTCAATTTTTAATGGTGAATTATGTAATCGTGATGGAACCGGAAACGAGGTTTGAACGGAACGGAAAGTTCGCTGATGATCGTGTGAAAGTAGATATGTTTTCAGCCCTTAATTATGTGGATTGTATATCACATTTATACGACCACGCTTTCTAACAAACTTTATCCGATGTTTTGACGATTAGAAAATTTATTATAAAATTAAAAAAGTGTTTGAAAAAGTCATGTTTAAGGCGGTCCTCATGATTATTCGTTTCAATGAAAGCAATGTAAAAACGTAAAAACACGAGATTCCTCAAAATCTGTGAATGTTAATTCTCTTGTGCGTCCGCTATCAGTGTGCAATTTTATAAATGTCTTTGCGACTTTTGATCAATTTTCGTAATCGAACTCGAAATCAACTCGAAATCTTCAAATTAGCGCAATCAATATTTCTCTACTACTTGATAATCAATTTCAATGACGCAGTGCATCGACGTACCGATTCGCCCCGGCGCAACTACGATGTCTTCCGGTGCGTAGGTACATCAGGAAGCGTAATTAAGCTTTTTTTTTTAATACGTAATTGCTTCTTCCGCGACAGCGATTACGACTTGCTCACCGATTAGTCGTACAATGACGACTATTGTTTGCAACAGTTTGTATAGAGTATGTTAAAATCCTCTTTTTATCCCGCAATTGTTAAAAATCTATAAATACAAGTCCTACATATTTAAAGGACGCGATTAGTTCCGATATTTTTGTACCGGAGAAGTAAAAAAAAAAGATCGATAATGGCATTTTTATCATTATAAATCAGGAAGTCATATTTAGAAGTAATAAAATCAATTGATTTTATCATATGTTGATATTATTATAATAAAAAAATGTTTCAATTTAGCTTCATAAATAATTTAGAATTTTTTTAATTTATCTTTACAAATGGAAAAGTTTTGTAATATATAATGTAATTATTTTATAATAATGGAATCAATAAATTGTAGAAAAACATCGAAACAAATAAAAATCGTCTCTAAGATTAGCACAATAATGCGCTTTTCTTGAAAAAGAATGCTTGTGTACGACACTTACATCGTTTCGCTTCTCCGGAACTCGTTTTGTCGCGTCGCGTTGTCGCGCATCGATGAATTTGTTTGATCAAGCGATCGAGCATCTTATTTGAATAACTTGCGCCATGAAGGATCGACAATGTACGCTGGTGCAATCTCGATTTTTGCGCCGAGTAATAAAACGCTGATCGAAATACCATTCCCTCGCAACGCTGGCGTAATTATTACTCGTTACAGCGATCTATTCTACACAATCATCGTCTGTAACGTGCGTCTACAACGCCTTCCTCGCAGAAACGTCTCCGTAATAAGATAATAAACCGTAAGTTTTACGATATAAAATCCTCTAAACGTATAATTATTTTTGCTCAACAAAGAGTAAACAAGAATACATACATGGAAGATAATTATCTTGCCATGTTATTTTCCTGTATTTTTTTCGTATCGAATTAACATTCAGTTAATGATAAGATCAAAATCATACAATTTTTTATCATATATCTTTTTACGTCCAATATATTTACAGCAAAAAATAATCAATTCCTTTCTGGAAATTTTCACGATATAGATATAATATCTATTTGAAAGCTTTTAGACAACGGAAGTAAATTCTTTAGTTTCCTCTTCGCATATCACTCGATAAAAAGAATACAGATAACGCGTAATCAAAGAAATCTTATCTTAAATTCCAAAAATATCAAATCTCTATTTTCATAAAAACAGATTTGAAATTACAGACTATCATAATTATTAACTAAATTCAACTTTTGACGAGTTTGCTTGTTATGAAGAGAAATAGACTGGAAAAGTTGAAAAGTTTTAACCATTTTATATAACCTCACAATTGCATCAAGCGGACGCGTCGTTGCTCGAGGCGAGATGAGGATTACAAAGAAGCAACAAAGAGCAAATTGAAAAGACTCACCTTGCACGGCGAGAAGAATCACCAGCAGACCGAGTATTCGCGGCGGCAGCATCTTCCCACGTCGATTCCTCTACTCGCTTTTCCTTTTAAACCACTTGAAAACCAATGGCACAAAATGTGCAGCACTCTTTCCTTCTGTTCGTTCTGACCGAATCTCGCGGAGATTAACTTTTCGTTACGATCGCCCCAATCCACCGTAAGATCGTTTCGGCCGCGATCGGAGTTACGCCGCCGATTCGAATCGCGACAATCAAACGTATCGCTCGTCGTCGAACAGAATCGAGCTGAATACCGAATACAAACTGAGCGAGCGTACGCGCGCGGAAGAGCGGCGACGGAATCGCGCCCCCGGCTTTTTACGGGGACTTGCGCCGACCGGCTGCGCAGTCGACGATCTCCGTGCACGATGCACGTGCGCATATGTGTGCGGAGTGTACGCATGAGTCCACACACTTTGCATACATATGCTGCGAACTTCGAGTTTGTCATATTGCTAAGCTGAATCTGTAATAAAATAATACATAGATGTTTAAAAATTCAAAAAAAGAGATAAACATGTAATATAAGACACAATAAATAATAATGCATCGATAAAATGTACTCTTTTAATTCTTAGAGATATTAGCTCAAAAATGAAAACCACTTTGAAAACTATTTGATAACACAATATTAGTATTGCTGCAATCTTTTATCTTGGCATAAACATGCGATATATGTATTCTGAAATCATACTAAAGGTCGCGATAAAGATATATAGATCGACAAGTTGATTTTGATCCCGGAATGCAATTTTATATCGATTTCTTATCAATATCACGTTTTGCTCCATTCATTTCCGCATGTTTGCTCATATGTAAGACTATATGGATATCGCAACAAAACTCGTGTTCTCCAACTTTTTCAATATGAAGTTAGAAGTGCCTTATCTCTCGTATCTGTACATCAAAGATAAAAGCGTGTATCAATATTTTCGGTTTACTTTGATGATAAAAAGTTCCAGTTCCAAGAATTTATTCAAATTCGTATAGATTTTTTCAATTTTACCAGAAATTTTGAAAAGTGAAAAATACGAGTTCTGCTGCCACGTCTTTCATATTATTTCTTTCCTTAATCAATTTCTTGCAATCTTGCCATCAATGCCAAAGTCGATTATAAATAAGAATAATATGAATGTAAGTAGGTGTAAATTTTCTTGCGAACACTCCCGCGCATAAAGCACAAACAGTATGAGTGTAACACTTACCAACAATTGCTTATGTGTACACAGGCCTGATTTGCACGTGATGAATACCGCCTCGCAGTCTTCATTTCATCCATTCATCCTATTGTACAGAATGCCCGATGACGGCATAAAACCGTTTAATTCTGTGTAAACACCAATGTCACTTCTGCGCTGCACGAAGGACGACTTGTCCTTTTACACGAAGGCTGCACTCGACATTTTTCTCTTGCATCGCGATCCAATGTCTGTGTAAAAAAAGACACGAGTCATTGATACAAAATTCCGCGAAACAGAAAAACAAAAAACTTCTTTTAGTTTTACAATTGGTTAAAAGCAAGCAAAAGCTTGTTTTACGTAAATTTTAAACTTTTTTAGATTCTTATAATATATTTACGTTAAAGTCGGATTAAAAAAATGTTTTCTATTAACAATTATTTTTATGTATCCCTATTGAATTTGTTTGTATGATATTTATGATCTTGATATTAATATTTTAAGAGAGCAAATGGTGTAATAGAGTAAATCATGAAGGTCACGACAAGTAAAACAAGTTATCGTATTATTATTAGCTGCTTTAAACAAGAGTCATGTTAAATATACATGAGCTATAACGATGTTACAAGTTTCCCTTTACGGTGCAGGATATATTAATGTTGCACATCATTATGGTATAAGCATGACATGTCAACGGTGTGACTAATGCGGTCGCAAAAAATAGTGATGTCATGCGGCGCAAAGGTGCATATTTTATTTGGGCAATTGTGTGACGACTAGGGCGTTTTCATGGAGAATTACTCACTGTTCATTTTTTTTAACAAGAAACGCCAAAGCTGATTAAGCTCCAATTTTTTTCTTGAGAAATTTGTGTTTACCCTACTTTCAGGAATTATTAAAGGAAAAATATTTTTTTATCATGAATTGCTTCTTACCACAAATAAATATATTGTCATGCGGGAGAGACTGCTGCGTTAGCTCATTCCACTTGGTATCGACCGCAATTGTGTGAACAAATGATTCAGTCGATCGCGAATAAACATTTATAATTAATGTCATCCTTTCGCAAAGACACATGTAATATTGTGCAAATAAAATTAACAGCCTGAATCAATAGCCTTCAATTCGCTTCTTTTCTAAAAAGAAACAACGTATCAGTATACCTTAATATCTATCATTTTTAACAAATATGCAAATATATTTAAATATAATTATGTACTTGACATCACATATATAATTTGAGTGACGAATAAATATGAGATTAATAAGATCATTAGCCTTTAATTGCACTTCAAATTGTTTTCCATTTCTAAAATTCTAAGATTCTTTACAAAGAGATCGTGCAAGAAACTTTAACGCAGGAAACATTTGTATTCACTGATAAAGCGGGTGGAAAATATTTGAAATTTGCGTCCGCCAGGTGAACAACACCACGAGTTTCCGTTTTATGTGAATGATAACAAACAAGGTCTTTGCTTGGCGACTCTATCGCTGTCTTATAATGTAAATATTAATATTAAAGCAACTTATGAATACTAGCAAAGCTGCGTACATAATAAATCTATTTAAAAATGCAAAGGCAACTATTAACCTTAAATTCATATTTATTAGATTATCTTAACTGTATAATTATGCAAGAATATAAGATAATTCTAATGTATGTTACAAAACATCATAACAAGGTACTTTATGAAATCAAAAAACTTACTTTGAAAATATATTTGTCACACAAATGACATTAATTTCTTTCCGAGTTACAACGATAAAAAAACGCAACGGCAGAATATATTAATCTGAAGTTCGCTGAGATATATGGTGCCATCTAGCGGAAGTTCACGCAATTAAAACGCAATGTATATTTGCTAAAAAATAACAATTTGTTATTGCATTCGTGATGCAAATCGAGTTGACTCTTTACTTTTTTCTAATTATTATCTATCGTTTATCAAAAGTCCATATCGTTCACAGTTTATCTTTTAATCGACCGAGTTTTATAACGAAACTTTGAAAGACACTCACCGTTAGAAGTGTCGTCATCGCTGGAAGCCCTCGGTGTGTGATTGGAGCCAGCGCACCCCACCGCCGCCGTCGCGCCGCGACGATTGTGATGCATTGGTGAACGCGACGGGACAAAGGACGCTTTCGTACGCAAGCAGAAGGACGCCATGTTCATTTGTCAACGGACGTTAAGGTGTTCCCGTAAGGAAGCAGCGAGCAGCTGCCGCCGCCGGATAGGAATCAAAAAATCAGAGCTGATACTGATCCGAGAGTGAACGATCTCGCTCATTTCGCGCGTCTTCTCCGCGTTTCCGCCATGGAGAACGTCGCCGAGGAATCGTCGAATCGCAAACGCGAGGAATACGAGATGCAGCTGCTCGGCTTCCATTCCACAACCTTATACGCGGCTTGTAAGTCGCCGTCTACCTTTTACTCCCGTACGATACTTTTCCAGATCGCGTTCACCGGACGGGGTCCGCCGCGAAACGAGCCCCATGTGTCGCCGGATGACCCTCCAATCCTGCTCGTATCGCAGCCGCTGGATGGGTGTGCTCTAGTTTCATGTAGCATTTAATCATGACTAGAGTCACACTCGTCCAGCGACCGGGATGCTCTCGCCGGATTATTACAAAAGGAGTTGGTGAACGCGAATAATTTTCTTGTAATGCCGTTTCCGGCGATAAAACGCAAGATGTTGATCGGCGAAGACGCAAAGCCGGTCGAGAAGCGTCCCCCTCGATGAAAGCGTCCTTTATCTCCTTGACTTTTTTTGTATTCATTTCCCTTACAGGTCTGCTGATTCCTTTGACTTCATGTTTCAGCTTTTGATACTTTTGCGAGTTGTATAGACCATTGTGCAATTGTAAAATTCCATGCTTAATTGCTTAATTTGTTGAGGAAATTTTCTAGCAAAAGAAAAATTACAAATAATGAATAACGATTCTACAAAGATTCCTATAATTATACTAAAATTTTAGGAAAAATAATATTGAAATTTTCTATAAACAATTTTACTAATTGATTTATTTACTTTTATTGCTTATTACCATTATCCATGGTTCTCATAGATGTTTTCAATCACGCTTGGTTGCCCATAGTAATCTTGTTGCTTTCTCTTTGGTCTGTTATAGTTAAGAACACAGTGATGGAAAGGATACAGTCTACAAGCAGGAAGTTACGTGAGGCTTTGGAGAAATCATACAAAATCTCAGATTCTGAAAAGTTAGAAACGCTAAAGATGAATGAAAAGAATCTTATAAAAGCATACTACACGGCTTCTTTACCTTACCTGAAAAATATCAAGGTAATTTATTTTCAAAATAAGCAATCTATATGTCTAGTTATATATTATACCTAATTATATTTGTAAAAAGATCAAAGAAATATACATGTAATATATTATCTTTTTTTCATTTAGCGTAATGTGAATAAAACTATTGCTATACCGAGCAATGTTCTATTGAGCACGGATAAACCTCAAGCAACGCAATATACAGAAGAGGAGTTAGAAATTATACGCAAGGAACTGAATGAATTACAACAAAAAGCCAAACAAGTACGTATCATAGGTCATATTGTAAAGGAGCAGTATAATTGGTTCCATTGCTATTTAGTATTTATAGATAAAGGAGCATTTAAGCATTACATAACATCCTGTGTTTTTCCAGGCAACTATATTGGATGCTGCATTGAAGGAGGAATTACAGCTCATAGAGCAATCTTCGATCTGTGCACATAATATTGATAGACTGAGTCACATAATTGAAAGTGGTGCCTCATGTCCAGACGTTAGTAACAAAATTCTTCAATTAGCCAAAAATTATAAACAATTCAGCTCGTTTTTTGATGACAAAACGCCTGTACTTCCAAAATCGCATTACAATATAATTGATGATGTTAAATGTATAGATGTAGATATTGAAAATTTATGATTGTTAAAGAAAGTATTTTCATGCATCCTTGGATGCTTTATTACTGATATTACTGCCATTTTGAGATTAATATATTTAACTTAACATGAATATATTAATAATTATGTTAATATGTAAATATCGAATATTATGTACATAATTTAAGTTTATTAAATATTTTTTATTTATAAATATAGACGACTCTTTATTTTCCCTAAATCTTAAGGCTAGAGGTTACGATGTGCAATAGCTAATAGCTGTAAGTAGTTATTACGATGATTACTTTAATGCAAAATATTTAATCGTAATTAAAATTTTTTGTAGTATTTTCTAGAATTACTAAAATGTCATATGAGATTACAGATACTCCAATCTGTTATCGACTACAGTTTACCATCAGTTAATATTTTTTAGCATCTATTGAGATTTGCCTTGTCTTTTCTGTCGGAAATATATAATAAAAAAACTTATCAACATTTTCAATTTATAATTATTGAAAATTTGCATATAAGTTTTTTAATAATAATTATAGCTATAAAATCAAAGATTACAGTATATCATATTTTTTAATTTTTTAGATTTATGTTATATATAAATCTTTTTTATTAATTGTTTAATAAAATCGTTGCAATAATTTATGTGTAGATATAAAATTATTGTCTCAAAATATCTAATGTATTAGATTTGTTAAGATTAATATAAGGCCTCGTTATAATCCCGCAAGCGGGATTATATTAATAAAATTTATATATTTAATGCAAAATACAATAGTGCAATACTAATTATAATAATGCAATGTTGAAAAACATATAATAAAAGTTCTATATATATATATATATATATATATATATATATATATATATATATATATATATATATATATATATATATATATATACACCAAGTTTTTCTATTTCAATTTAATATCGTAATGTTTTGGACGCAACATAGGCTCAAGAAAAACAACTCTCATAGCGAGGCTAGAAAAATCTAAGAAGTGGCACCTTTTCTTGGAATCGGTCGAAGCTCTAGCGTTCCCTTCACTCCTCCCCGCCTTTCCCCGTTCCAATCCATTATTCCGAATAAAATCAACCAAAGATCAGTTTGCTATGCACAGTTCGCTATAACACATCGTTGACAATGTGCGATAAATCCGATATCATCGAATGCCAGCGTACCTTGCGACTCCTGGAGATGCTGCGACGTACACACTACGAACTTGTACAGGTATAGTAAATAAAGTACCGAGAAAATGACTTGGAAAATATATGGTAGTATGTAGAGTCTGTCTGTAATTTAAGACAATAAAGATTTATAGTAATAATAAAACATATTCAATATATATTGACAGTAGTATCATTAGTTTAATGGCACTTTGCCATAAATATTTTAACATCAATAATTTCATTAACTTACAAGATGCAACTAGCTGCAACCAGCTGCGTTTGGAGAACTAAAAGTCAATTGAAAGTGCCGACGAATGTATCTTTTCAAAATCGCACTGTAAAATAAAAAAGCAAAAATATTTCTATCTGAAAATTAATATCCTGGAAAGAAGTTTTGTCTTGCTTTTCAAAATTCTAAATCCTAGTTTCTTGTTATCCAAAATCATGCGTGAAAAATATTTTCGCGTGCATAGGAAAACGGCCAGCGACGATTAACGGCGCCAGAAGTGGCACGCGGTGAACAACGACGCGCTAAGGGCGCGGAAGTGTTCCTGGGCCGGTTGCCGCGTGACTGCTACGAGGACGAGCTGATGCCAATATTGGAACAGGTGGGCCGATTGGTTGAGCTGCGGCTGATGCTGGACTTCTCCGGGTCGACGCGCGGTTACGCGTTCGCGCTTTACGAGGAATCGCAGATCGCCCGGAAGGCGTGCATACTTCTCGACGGCTACGAAATCCGTCCCGGTCATCATATCGGCGTGGTTAAATCCATGGACAACTGTCGGCTCTTCTTCGGTGGCGTGCCTAAGACCAAGACCAAGCCGGAGTTCATAGAGGAGCTGACCAAGCTTCTGGACGGCATCGTCGATATTTACCTGTATCCGAGCGCGTACGATCGCAACCTCAATCGTGGTTTCATCTTCGTCGAATTCACTGATCATCGCGCGGCCGCGATGGCCCGACGTAAGCTTATACCCGGAAAAGTGACTCTCTGGGATCACGAAATCGCAGTGGATTGGGCGGATCCAGAGCCGGGCGATCCGATCGACGAGACCATCATGGAAACGGTGAGTTTTGAATTTTTTTCAAAGAATTGGTATCCGCGATCGCTAATCCATTATTTTTTTCCATATTTCCTCTATGTTGTTATGTTGTAAAAGTGATTGATTTTGTATAAGTTTTCCTCCGGCTGTGTTTACAATTTAATAATAATTTTATTAATTTCTCATTTAATATGATATCTAATAATTAATAAAAGAAGCAAATGAAAGTATGCTACGTTTATCGAATGTGTAAATTATCAAAGTGAAAACAAATCGGAGCGTGTATTATATTACTCTATGTAATTATAAAGGTACACGTCGAATCGAAGAGAATTCAAAAATAGAATGACTTCACGTTTAATACGGATTTATTAACAGCTTTTATTTAACTACTCCGACCGTTAAAAATTGAATATTTGTTCGATATAGTTTTTTTTTTCGGTTATTTAATAATAATGGCTCCGCTATGTCCATGCTAAAATTGTTCTTCTTTTAATTGAACTGACAAATTTTACATTAAATACGTAGTTTTACGTAATTATAAAAAAATTCTTTCGTTATCCGAAGAAAAATGTATTTTGAAAAAAAGCGTACAATAAAAGGAGAATTTCATAAAAAAAGGTACGTTAATGTAGAGATACTCACCGCAACGAAATCAAATCATATTATTGCATCTAACGTCGTAGACGAGGCATGTCGCATTAATTCAATATCGATGACAAATAGGTGACGGCTCTGTTCGTAAGGAACCTCACGCTGGATATGTCGCAGCAAAAGGTGAGGGAGATTTTCTACAGGTATACAAACGTGCCGATATTGAAGCTGAAGAAGATCAATCATTTCGCTTTTATTCACTACGAGAATCGCAAAGCCGCGCAGACTGTAATGGACATAATGCAGAGTGAGTATGCAAATGACATAAAAATTAACATAAAAAATAAGAATTGATAAAAATATTAGTCAATTCTAATAAATTCACGTTTCATTCTCTTACCTATTACATGTATCTTTCTTTTAGGATCGGGTAGCATTATTGAGAAGGAAGGGTGGGAAATTCGCTGGGCGAAGCCAATCGGAGCATCGAAGATCCTAGAAAGACAACGGCACATTCGCGAGGCGGTGGAGAACCGAGACGGTGGTCAGACGACTAAAAACTCGAGTCCAAAACAAGTCCAGAAGAAGAAACGCTGTAGCAAGACGCTCATGAAAATGCAAGACGACGAAAACGTTTATATAGCGCAGATGAAGGTCCTGCAGAATTTTGTCAAAGAGAGATTCGACGCGACGTGCACTTTCAATTTCGTTCCTGTGTCAAATTCACAAGATTTTGTCGGCAGAGTAAGCCGATTCATGATTTGAAAATTTGTATGGCTACTCAGTTTTATTTGTGTCGGATTATTTACTCATCTTCGATTATATTCTTTCAGATAATAATTCAAAGGGATCAAATGCTCTTGTACGAGCTTCAAGGGGAGCCGATGGCGTCAAAGTGTAAAGCCATGAGCGCGGCATCCGTTAAAATGTACCAGTATTTGACAAGCACTCTTGCGAATCATGGTATAATATTTTGGCTTGTGTTATATTAAAAGCTTTTGATTACTTCGTTCTCTATTTGCACATGAAATCAAAGGATTTTGACAAAATGTTTCCACGCGGATTAAAATAGCTTGTAAATCCGGAAAACATGCGTATTTTGGGATATTCATAAAATTTCAACTTTTAGTAATAATTGACAAGTGGCGTTCGCCGCGAGATTTTGTTTGCGCACTTTGCTTCTCGTGGAAAATATTTTGCACCACACAATACAGCTACACATTGTAATGTTATTTTGCTTGTATTTTTTTACAGTGCCGCAACCATTTGAACAATATTATGTTGAGCCAGAAGTCGCTGTTCCAATTTTCTCTTCCAATCTTGCGATTGGCGTGCCAATGACTCAAAATTAAATTTATGGCTTTAATGTTTGTCTTTTTAAAATTTTTAATTATTCGTTGTTGTTTACGAGAAACTTATTGACACTATAAAAAAAGGCTAAAGTCTTTCACTCATACTTCTTATCATTTGATTTTTAATCCAAATAATTTACTAATAGCGTTCGTTAATCAGGCATTTTAATTTCATACTGATTTTAAGTTACAATTCTGAGACAATGTACTTTCGAAAAAGTAAGATATATATTCCAAGTTATTAAAACTTGTAAAATTTTAATCTATATAACAAATGTTCACATAATGCATATAGCTATATTTTAATAATAATAATAATATTGATTTAAAATGGCCAAAATTTCTTAATTAAAAAATTAATATTAAATTGCGATTGCAAAGACAATGTGTCTTCAAAAAAGTATCTATATATTTCAATCTAAATTATTCTTTATAAAATTCAAATGCTTGATGAAATTGTATCTTGTAGAACAAATATGATACACACGAACATTTTTACACAACTGGCCATTTTAAAAAATTTATTTACGTAACATGATGAACTCATTATCGAAATGTATTTGCTCGTACGTTTAATGATTCAGAAAATGTGATATTGCAAGTTTTATATAATACAAAAGATTTTAACTTTATTTGTTACTCATATAAAAAAGTATTTTAAATCATTACAATAAAAATGATCATTTTATTTAAAGTTTTTGCTAAATATGTTTGTAATACAAAAGGCAATTTTTAGATATTTTCTTTTCAGTAATGACAAAAAAAATCAGTGTCAATGTTTAGTTTAAAATGAAATACAATTTTAAATGAACAAACTGTTTTTAATAATCAGAGCACATACATCATGTGCTATCAATATAGATCACATTATTGTTCATTTTGCAATACCTTCGTGTATATTTCACATTGTATAAGAAGTTAATATAATAAAGATATTTTTGCAAAAATTTGTAAATCCCTTTCTCTTTCAAGTTTCTCATTAAAATTTCACTCAAATTTAGAAAACACTTGAAAAACGAGCCCGAATAGTTGCTCAGGTTTTATACAAGCATCTGATAATTCTAATAATTTTATTAATTTCTAATAATTTTAAGCATCTAATACTATACATATTACAAAATGTATATATAGTCATTCCTTTTATTTATTTATATATTTTAAGCTTATATACGAGCTGTAAATTCAGAAGTATATCAATTAAAAAAAGCACCCGCAATAATAAAACGGTAATAAATTGATGTAAAGATGTTCCAAGACTTTACCTTTAAGCTTTATCCTTAAAGGATCTTCAGAGAAAATGGAGACAAAGCACGTTTACCGTTTCAACGGGAAGGGGCTCAGCGCCCTTTGCATGAACGGCAATATCGTGGAGTAATCCTCGAGGATCCTCCGTACTGTTTCATAATCAGTATCACCGGTGACATTGGTCGGTCTCATGCAACGTATTAGCCTCCCGGCTTGCTCGTTGCATCCGGTTGCGCTATTCCTCTCCTGCGCGCTGAACGTTTCGTACGTGAACGTCAGCAGCTTCTCCACAGCGCAGTCGAGTACCTTGTCGCTCGGCAACTCACCCCGGCCGCTCTCGATGCAATCCTTGATCGCGACATTCATCCAATTCCAATCCTCCCACACGTCTGACGCCTCGACCTTCTGATTCTCCAGCTGCCACGTCAAGCGAGCGCGATATCTAAAGAAGCGCGTAATGTGTTATTTTTATGCTAAGATAAAAATCCCGATTGTTCAAAACAACTTTAAATTTTTTATTTATTTCAGAATATATTATAATTAACATAGGTTTTCTTTATGTTTAGAAGGAAACTAAATTGTGCAAAATTGTGAATTTTGTGTAAAGATACAAATTTTGTATCGATTCGCGATTATTTAGAGATATTAATAGTAATAAACAATTTAAAATTAATAATGATAAATAATGAGATAACTTGCAGCAAATAATTAATTTTCGTACATCGATATTTCGATTTAACGGTGATAGCAACTTACGACCAGCTCCACGGATTCTTGCTGAATTTCACTCTCTTCAGTTTACCCAAGTAGGCGAACATGTCGTAGTTGATGAAGTACAGTTGATTGTAGTCAAAGTAAAAGTTCTCCAAATTAGGCAGCATTTGGAAGACCGTGGAGTTGATTCCCTGGATAAAGTTGAATGACAAATCCAGGGTCTTCAGCGAGTACATGTTCACGAACCAATCTCCCGGCACGAACGTCAGTTTATTGCCCCAGAGCATCAGTTTTTCCAACTTCGTGAGGCCTATGAAGGCCTGAGAGTCGCACGTCTGTATTCCGGATTCGTGCAGGTCTAAAGTCACGAGGGTCGCCCCGAATCTCGCGAAGCTGTGCCTTTGATAGAAGGAATTAAAATCGCGATTACTTCGGAGACGCGATAAATTCGTATCCAGCACAAAAGCGCGTGTAATATATGCTCCAATAAAAAAATGAATATTCAAAGAACGTACGAATATTCAGAAGTATGCAGACACTAAGTATACGAAGAATGTAAAATACCTTTTATATCGAGTAAAAAAACGAATAACGCGATACAAATTCGCGACACATTAAAAAAATATCGATGCAAAAAATATTTATGTATGTCATCATACATATTACACAAAAATCGATATTACAAAATATTACTTTACTCAATCTTTTTCTGAGAGTTTTTCTTTTCGCTTACCCGGGCACATTGGGTATATTAGAATCGAAGATCGTGATGATCGTCGTGTTGGTCCTCGCTCGATTCAAATTATCCTGTAGCGTTGTTATCTCGGTGCATCGAAAGCCGACACCGTTCGTTCGTTTGTACGTAATTCTCACGCATGATGCTTTCGACGCTTGTCCGACGGTCGTCGCCGACAAAGCAGCTTCAAAAAACGGATAAAAGAAACAAATTAATAGCAAGCGCTTCATCGTCGTCAAATCTGTTCGCGAGGAAATCGTTTAATTAACTGAATATCCTCGGCATAGTGCGATGGATGTGGGCAGTAATTTCCTCTTGTCGATGATAACGCGAATCAGTTGGCGTGATTGAGTAACCGGCACTTCTACGCGTTTATTTTTATTGCTAGAAAATATTCAAATGTCGCGTTATATTTTGAATATCAATATTCAATAATATATATTAAGTATTAAGCGTATTAAGTAACAAGTATATTTATGAGATGTTTATCACATTGAAGATTTGTCATTAATAAATCGATATATGTTTCAAACGTTTTTTCTCCCTTTTTAAATTACAAAATCAAAAGATTTAAATTTTGTTTCTTTGTCGAGAGAAAATTTTGTTTCAGAAAGACGCCGGAACATCCTGAAGAATCGAGAAAAATCCCGGAAAAGAATCCCTGCGGATGATAGTAGAAACAACATTTATTGTCATACATATATACACGAATGTCACAACTCTCATTAAGAGATAAATACAGCTGTCCCTAGAGGCGAATGAATCCACTTCAATCAATTTCTAAAAATCAACAAATCCTCAATTCAGTCGGTTTTGTAATATGAACCCCTCTTTATTCGACAGATGCATATCTATGATTATCGATTGTTACAGGAACTGATCAAAATGACTCGTAATTTATATTATTGAACAGCGTCTATTACCAGAAAACGTGTAAGCTGAAAATTAATTACAGAAAATACTAAATGTATCATACCTCTTAAATATATCGTGGATATAATGGTGGCAGTTACAAGCGTTTTTAACAGCGTGTGATCGTCTACTTCTCGAATATACGTAGCTACATTTATTGTCATAAAAATGTTTCATTATTTACAGCAAAATATCGACGTTCTCGATGTGGATCTCGTATTTCTATTCAAATTCCTGTGATATCTGAATAAAAAACAAAACAGAACAAAAATTTCAATATCAATCAAACATGATTTTATCCTACGTGGTTCAGTCATCGCAATCACGACGAAGACACAACCTGCTTCAAAATAAAACAATTTATTCCTTCATTAAATACTTTGTTCTCCATTTTAGTCGTAAATTAGGATCACCAAGATAGTCGCGACGAGACACAACCGAGAATCACGTGAAGAGGTAACGCCGTTCTGAGTGCCCAGCTGTGTCGGCGCCGAGTGTGCGGGCGCTGACGCCGGAAACGCGGAGATCCTCGACTTGTTCGCGATATTCGGCGAGGAGCTCGACGCGTTCCTCCTGGACATCGGCGTGGTGTGACTCATGTTCTTTGGCGGCAGATTTAGTTCCGATTTATCGTATGAATATTTCTTCCCTTTCTTCATCATATCAGTTTGCTTCCGCCAGGTATGCTTCTCGACGACGTCCGTATTGCGCGTGGAAGCTATCGTTGGTCTGGGTATGTGCAACTCTGTAATTTGATTTCGGAGAAACGAGAACAATTATGACTTTCAACTGACAGTAGGATACCAGCGTAAGTAGGGCGTAGTATATAATTTATATGGTCTACTTCAAATAAAAAAAAGTCTAAAAACTTCGAATATAAAGTCTAAAATTGTTACGAATTATATGAAGTCAACCTGTTCACGCTTGAAACTTTTTATATCGTATATCACATTTACGGTTTGTAAAAACTAGATTAAATTAAAATTCGAGAGAATTTGATAAAAGTGTAAATTTAATAATTTAATCAGGAATTTTTTTTATAATAAAATTATTGTAAAAATTCTCGTGTGCGATATCGATTATTATTATTATATACCTTGTAGTCTTATAGACCCTTCCGCTTTGCCGAAAGCGTTTTCAGCGGAACATATATAGGTGCCGAAATCGGATCGGTCCAGACATCTAACAGTGAGATTTAGCTGATATGCGTAATCATTGATGGTTACTTCTGATATGTCATGCTTCTCGTCCTCCAACAATTTGACTCCTGAGGAGAAAATATCTTCAAAAATAACTCTATCGAGAACACCTTATCTATATCTTTCAAAAGAAAATTCTTTTCCAGAAACGAAGGAAAGATTGTGTCAAAGGACATCCGTTATACGCCAACTTGGAGGACTTGCGACAAGAATACATACATATTTCCGTTCGTTTCGTACAAAAACTGATAACGAAATAAATAACAAAATTGACACAACTATTCTCACAGAGAAAATAACAGAGGGCTACATATTTTTATGGAATTTTTTTCCAGAGTCGCGGTACAAAAATATTTGCAACTTTTAATCCTTGTATACTATATATAATAAAATTGGCGTAATTATTTTCGGCGGAAAAATGTTATACAATGTATTTTTATCGCATCTTTTGCGAATTTTTTGTTGCAAAAAATATAAGTGAATTAATTGAATTAATGTAAATAAAATAAAATTCACGCGAAAATAATAAACTAAGATAATAATAATAGTAAATAATATATACTATATATATATATATATATATATATATATATATATATGTGTGTGCTATATTGGTTTTAGCATGCGGAAAACAAGTAGGCCGAAATCTCGTGCGCGTGTATCGTAGGCCGGTGCGCTCTCACCATTTCTGTACCATGTGTTCAAAGCCTTCGGCGAGGACTCCACGTAACACTGAAGAAGAACGTCACTGTCGACGGGCGCCGCTACTAACTGGTTTGAGACTTTAATCAGCGGTTTGACTTTAACGAGAAAGATGCAATTAGTCGCGCAACTCGGCCAAACGGGAGGAGGAAGTTGCTACCTCGTTAGCACGCATGCACTTACAACGGACATTGACGTAATATCTCTTGCTGACCGACGGCGGCACTCCGTTCGATGCGATGCAGAGATAAGATCCCATCTCCTGCCGCTGAACACCCCTCAGATGAAGCTGCTCGCCCTCGTACGATCGCGCTGTTTTTCACATTTTTTTTTTTACGAAAAATAAGAGATCCAGAAATTTTGATTTTTTAATAATTAATCATCTTTGTCTTTGTCTTAACGCGATCAATTATTTTTCATACGCCATCTCCTTCGTACAGAAATATACTACAGCATATCTGTACGATTTTTCTTATACAAAATTAGAAAATTATAATGAATGCTTAACCATTTCTTCGACATTCTTTAATTATAATATTATTCTCAAATTTAAACAAGGACCTTGTTCTTAAAATGTTAATGTGCCCCTTTTTAGAAAAAAAATTCTCATCGATCGAAAGAAATTCTATTTCTTTTATACATTAAAATATTTACGAAATATGAGTATAAAAGCGTCCTATTAAAGAAGCAGTCATTAAAAGATTATGAAACAATATGAAACTGGAGTTCTCTGATATGTGTGTACGAAAGGAGACGGCGGAATCACTGGCGGGATGAAGATACCGCGGCAGCGTACGCTCTCACGATGCAGTGTACACACTGAATATTGCAATCGGGTACGCGAGTCGATAGGGGGCCGCGGCGAAGAGGAAATATATGTAAAGTCAACATCCATCACTCACAGTCAGGAAGGCTAATCGGACGGCTGCTTTTCCGCGGGACACGGCGCGCGGCGGACCCGAACAGACTCGCCCCGCTGAACGCCGGACGCTTTTTAAAAGCGATCCGGGAAATATTTCATCTTCAAAAATTGCGCGGCCCTCGCGTATGGATCAATTAAAGATGAATCGCCGCGACAGCGCCATTTAGCTACGACCAATCGCGCTCTTTTCGGAGTCAGCATCGTAATCATTAATCAGTCACGGCGACGGTAAAAATTTCATTTATTTTCGACGGTGGCGCATTTCATGTTAATGGCGCATCTCGGTGGGGAATATGATGGAATTTTAATTCACCAATTTGAGACCGCGATAGACGGTTATCTCTTCTTTATGCAATAATACAAGCATGACCGGTGATTAGCAACTAATCAAATTAAACTCTTATTATCATCCGCGAATCGCGTGAAACCGTGCTTTTGTCAATGTCAATTATTCTATTCTATTTCTGTTTTCCCAGATATCTTGCAAAACACATCAGTGTCTTATAAATTTTCAATCAATTTAAATAAATAAAGTTTCGCGTTTACTTCGTATTTTACTTAGCTCCCCGATTTTTCTTCATTCTTTTGAAATATTCTTTTTACTTGGATTTTTTCGCATCTCGTCTAATGTTTGATGGGTCTGAACAGATTACTTGTTAGCAGCGTACTTCGCTTGACAATGTGCTCATTCCTCAAAGTGATGTTCCGGCCGTCCTCCCGGCGCCAGATCACCACCGGTTCCGGGGTGCCGGTGGCTCGACACCGCAGTCGCAGATCGCCGTTCTCCTTGGTGGTCAGAAGATCCGCCGTGTCATCCAGATCCATGATGTCTGGCGGTATCACGACTTTCATGTAACCGGTCTGCGCGCAAGATATGCACATCTTTGTTACTAATATTCGATGCAAATGTTAGACTTTCATGGAATTGAGAAAAAATATCTAACGAATATATCGATATCCGAATTCGCGATGCTAAGATTGCTGCTGATTCATCATATTTGTAATTATTTCTGAAAGAGATGAAATTACGAGGAAGCGTCTGTATGCGATACATTAATAAGAGCGTATAATAATCTTCAAAAATATTTCTATCCTAGTGCTTTAACCAACTTTTTTTTTCTCATTTGCGACCGTAAACAAAAATCAGTGAAATTTCGACAAATTCATTTCGACGCAATTTGAAAAAAGTAATTTGCTAGAAGCGCATTTCGCGTAGCGACACGAATGTTCTCCACTTTGTACGGATATACGCGCATTGTGCACGTTGCATTCATGCAGCATTTGCGTCGTATAGAGAGTCGGAACGACATATCGTCCCCTATTCGGCGGCGGCGTGGAACGTGATAGAGAAGGACGATGACTGCTGCGCTAATGTTCAGCGGTTCTACTGACCTGGCTCCTCATAGGATCCGTATTAACTTGACACATGTACGCGCCGGAGTCGTTCGGCTGAACGTTAGTCACGTGCAGCTTCCATGTGTTATGGCCGTTGTGAGTGACGGACAGACGCTGGTTGTGCGCTACCATGTGCGTCTGAATGGCCAAAATCGCACGCGAGTCCGACTTTATCCAGGCGACCTGCGCGTGATGTAACAAAAGTGCTCATTTCGCTTACCATAGCGAGAAATAGCCCGTAGCGTAATGTTTTCGAAAAATTAATGCAGCCCATGCGTTTAATTGCGGACACAATGTTTAAAAAAAAATCACGCGCACTCGACAGATCAATTAATATTCACTTATCAATTATTCAATATTTTATAAATAATATGTAAATAATATTTTTATTGTAAATTTATAAAGCTTCTCAAATGGAATTTTATATGCAGAGATGTTTTTAAATATTATTTAACATTATACATTTCTTTATAAACATTTCGCTCGGATGTCAAATTAATTTTTAATGTATCGTTAGCGATCGCGGTAGTTGAAAAATGTATATTTAATTTAACTGGCAATGTAGCCGAATAATATTCCCCTTTGATATTTGCGTGGCAAATCACAAATAGTACTCACACGGGTGGTTGATAAACGCAGGTTAATAAATGGATTTTTCATGAAATTGTAATTAAACGTCGATAGTAATTAATTTGAATTTTACCTCTCGCAAATGTAATTATTGAGAAAATAATATAATTATTCCATAAACGAGTCACAGAAAATAACGACAGCTCTAAGAAACTCCATACATATTTCAAACCGCGTTATTTTTCTAGTTTTACATAAAATCTATAACTTTCACAATCATAATAATATCTTCTTGAACGATCGCCACAAAAGAATGCCATAAAGATAAATAACACGAACGCGGAAAAGAGAAATCTCCGCTCTTTCTCCGCGCAGGGAGGACAGGAAGGGGGAAAGGGTTGTATTTTGCACGGGGAGGGTGCGAAAGCGAAGTGAGATCGGGTCGCTTTGTGCGAGGAGCGCGAACTCTTCATTAGCACGGCGCCGGCTGCAAGCGCTTAAAAAGCGTCGCGGTGCTTGCGAAAGGCGCTTATCGGTATTCATACCGGCCGTTGGAGCCTGCACTCTCAAATTCTGCTCGGGTTTACACCCTTCCGCGCTCGTAGTCCTCCCCCTCCTCCTCCTATCCCCAGCCCGGTGGAGGGTCGACAGCTCGATCTGTCATATTTCAGACGGCGGCGCGGCCATTGAGCGGATGAAAGGGCTTTTAAACCACGGACAAAAGCCCGTGTTGCCGAGTTTCGATCGGCAATAGAATTTAAGGCGCGCATAAACACGTGAAAGAATATCGCGATTTATGTTACCTGTTGGAAATAACGCTTTCGCGGCGACGACGACGACGACGACGCGCTCGTCCGCGCCGGTGACAATCCTTCGCACACCGGCAGCAATTGACGGGTGTCCTTACGGACATCCGATATATCTGACGCGCGCTCGAGACGCTCTATAGTCGCGTTACATCTTAGGGTATTGCATTTACGACGATATTAGGTGGCATTTGGCCAAGTTTAGTACTTGTATTCAAATGTACACGTCGGAGTTTCGCGTTTCTCTCTCACGCGAATTTATCCGCATTAACATATATCTATTTCCAGGTTACATTTGAAACAAATTATTCCGTATTTTGTATTTAAAAAAAAAAAGCATACCTCTCTCAATTAATTCCGAATAAACTTTACTGACGTAACAGTATTCTAATTGCAAAACTTGAACCCCTGCAGAGAAACATAGTACGAAGAGCTTTAGATACGACTGCGCACTGGTCTGTGCACGGGACTGTAGCAAAGGGTTAAATTCCGAGATTAGAGGCCACCGGATACACGAGACACACGATTACATGTAATGCGACGAGTTCGACGCAGCTGCCTAAATTAAACAGCTTCCAATGTATCTCGACACGTGCGGGCGCGCGTTTTCGTTTCGCGGCGAATTTGTTTTATTCGCGAGCGACCAAATTGCGCAAACATATTTTCTCGACGGATACAATATGCAAATATTCTTTTATACAGAGTATCTTAGACCAATCGTACAACGCTCGTTAATAGCAAAACATTTATAGTTCATCCCGAAACATTATTACCGTGCCGAACAAGTAAGTTTGTGTTGATGATTATATATAAATATTAAATGTAGTTTAAAATTACATAAATTTTATTTAATATGCTCCAAAAACACTTTATTACAAAGTTTATTAAAAATTTATGTTTTTGTCATTTCGGATTTTGTCATCAATAAAAAAAGAATTTGTAACATTATATCATGTAACTTGCAATAACGTTTTGAAGTAGATTGTATAATACAATTACAATTGTATTATTATTATTACAATTGTATAATACAGGATGTCCCATGAGAAGTTGCTGAAATTAGTTAGCTGTCAATTTTTAAGGCACATAAAAAGTAAGAAAAATAAAATATCTTTTAACAGTGGACATTTTGCAGTTTTATTTATGTATAAACTAGAGACAATATTTTTATCATTAAATAAACATTTATTAAAAAATGCCAAATATCGCTAATTTTAATGGTATATATTTTTGATGTGCGCACCGTCAGAATAATAATAAAAATTAAGTCAATTTCAAAAATTATAACTGGAATTGTAACTTTTGTCGCATAAAGTTTTTTTATAGTTCCCAAAAGTGACTTATTTTTTGTTATAATTCTGAACGGTGCGCATTTCAAAAATATAAACCATTAAAATTAGTAAAAAATTTAGCACTTTTTAATAAACATTTATTTAATAATAAAAATATCTCCGATTGTTTTTAGTTTATATGTAAATAAAATTGCAAAATGTCCTCTGTTAAAAAATATTTTATTTTCTTGCTGCCTATGTGTGTTTAAAAATGACAGCTAATTGGTTTCAGCAGCTTCCCACGTGACACCTTGTATGTTTTATATTTTCCTTTTTTTGTAGATTATTAAAATGTCGCAGTACGAGAGTATCTGGCAAACACCGCTTTGGCTGCAAAAATTATTAAAAAACAGGTACACGCAACAATATTAACTACTGTAGCGAAAAAATGGACATTGAACAAAGTTGCAGACTTCTATAAACTTAATTGGGAAGATATGCACCTAAGAGTAAAAAAGTTCTGACAGGTCCATGTAATGCAAACAGCAATCGAGCCTAACGAGCTCTCGCTTCAGTCTATTGTCGTATTAGAGCACTGTTCTCTAAGAAATGCCGAAGGAAGAATTGATGATATCCATAATGAAGAAATATTTCAAAAATATCAAGGACAGACAGAAGTACTTTGTACAGAAGAGCAATAAAAATTCTTAAACACTATAAGAGTCATCAGAAAATCGTTGCAAAGTTCTATGATATATAAAAAAAACAGTTTGAGAGAGCAAATAAGAAAATATAACATTTATAGAGAACAAAGTAGATCAACAAATTTTTTTCAAGTTAATTGCGTGAATTTTTGACAATCTGATTGATCAATTTTAAACACTTCCTATTTAAAAACTAGTATATAAATAACTAATAACTTCATGAAAAATAGCGTATACATATATCAGAACAAACGATCAATAATATCAAAATTTTTTGCTATTTTCTTGCTACATTTTACCTACAAGAATATTTTTGTTGCTCTAACCAATAAAAAGTTACGAAGAGCTAGATAGTTTAAGCTACCGAAGTCGTTGTAAAAATAGCATATATGTATGTCAAACCAAATGATCAATAATATCAAAATTTTTTGCTATTTTTTTTACTACATTTTACCTACAAGAATATTTTTTTTATTTTAGAGCGCTTTTTCAAATGGTGTTTTCGTTACTTTCAATGACAGAATTTTGTTTAAAATAGACTGAGAACTCTAGAACTCTTCGGGGGGCATCCAGAACTCTGATCATTTTTTTTCAAATTCAAGAAATGGGGGATCAACTTCACAGAGATGCAATCTCAACATTTTATGAACTGTATAAACGAGCGTTGTACAGTTAGTCAGTGAACACCTCGTACGTATAAAAGAATTATATAAATCGGGATTGATTAAACTAATAATCAAAAATAATATTTTGCGTGCGTGAGACTTCGATGCGTTAATAATACATTTAAACAAAACAAGAAGTGAAACAAAAAAGTAAATGTTATTGCAATTATTTATCGGACATTGAATTGAATAATTATTAACTTTTGACTCTATGCAAATGTGCAGATCAATGATCGCAAATATTTATGGAAAAAAATACACAAATAAATGTATGCAAAATCGTAAGATATTTCGCATCGCAATTCGAATTCTATAGTCGCAATTGTTGTTTCGCATCGGGCGAAGATTTATGAATTAAATAAACTACAGTTTAAAAATTCTCACATTAAAATTTCACTTTTAGTAAAAAATTTTAAATCCGTTACTTTTTATTATAAAAGACAAAATGTCTCATTCATAACAAATTCAAATCCGACATTAATAATTTCACAATCACAGTAATTTTTTATACAAATTTCCATTTAATCGCGATCTTGCTGAAATGTGTAAAGTGCATATAAACGGTGTCGCAAAGTCAGCACGATGGCGAGGTTACGAGCAAAAGGGGCGGAGAGGAAAAGAGGAGGAGGAGGAGCTCGACGGCAAAAATCAGGACTATTCACCGGCGCTATATTAGCGGATCTGATTTATGTCCTTTCTTCCGTCGCTTCCTTTCTCTTTCCGGGGGAAGAGGCAACCCTTCGGCACAGCCGCGAGCGACAAGACGGTGGCGAGCATCTCCCGAACACGCTTCAATAGCGTTAGAAACGCGATAGGAACGATTGTCGCGATCCCAGCGCGCAATCAAACTTGGACTTCTTCTTGAAAGTGAATTACTCGCCTAGTCTATCCCGGTAAGGGGATTCCCTGGACCCTGGCGCACTACTCAACGCTTTCCCCACGTGCATTAGTGACCGTAGACGTGCGAAGAACACGTACGTAGCCGTGTTAAATCATGGTCAATGCTGGCGCGGGGCAGGATTGCGCCGAAAAAACATGCGAACCGCTGACTCAGCAGCTAAATTGTACGAAAATTGATAACGTCCGTTAAAATAAAGATGTAAACACTCCAGAACAAACGCGTCAAATTGTAATGATAGGTTTCTCGGCCAATTTGATGGCAATTTTTGTTCAATGAAACTTGGAACCGATAATTTTCGAGTGACCAGCGACCGTGAAAATGAGAGGTTTCTCGCAAGCCAAGCTTCGGAAGAGAAAATAGATAAGATAATTTCATTTCTCTTCACAAGCGGACTTTATTTCTAATAAAATTTTAATCTAAAATTTAATCGCATCGATTTTTGAAGATAAGCGATGATGCTAGAAAAGAGATCGATTTTGCAAAATGCTTGTTATTAAAATTTTATTCATTCCGGTTTATTTAGAAAAGTTGAATATATTACGTATTTTTGCAATGTTAGATTTAAAAAGATTGACGCGTTCATAAGAAATTTTCATTTACGAGGAAAATTCAGTTAATATTCGATCTCCGTGCCACTATTTGTCTCTCAGACTTTTTTGTGAATTTTGTTTTTTAATAAAAATTCTAGATTTTTCACAAAAAGGCTGAATTTACAAAGAGCTTGCGATATATTTATAGTCACTGCAATGTAAGTATATTGACGGAGAAAGCAGCGTAGCGAGACCGATCGGAGTAGGTAGTTTAGTCGATATGTAAGCGATGTTCTTCTCGTTGTCTCGACACATTCTTTCTGTTGTCTCGATGCATTCTTTCTATTCTGCCCTGCTATCGTTGGAAAATGTACGGAATACTCGACAGTTCCGCTTGATTTACATTGTTTCGCTATGCAGATCCAAGGGAAACATCTTGACATTTGTGGCGTCGCTCGCGGCTGTTCTCTTAGGACTTCGAAAAACTTGGCGGATAATATATACTTGACATTTTTACGAGAGCTAAGTTATCTCTCTATATGTAAATTGTCCTCTTTGCTAATGTAACACGAGTTTAAAACTAATGTAACATCATAACATTTAATAAAATCGACCCATGGACGAGTAGAATAATTGCGCGAATTAAAGAGATGTAACTTTTCTAATTTTTGAATTTTAAATTCCAATATAAATCTTGTTTAAGAATATAATTAACTCAAAGGAGTTCAATAATTGCTCACTAATAGCGTTTTTATCATTTTTTCTTCTCAATTTCTTATTTTTAACATATTTATTAATTGTAATGTTTTACGTTACTTTTCCCTTTTCGCAGTATAATTGATGTACATTTGAAGCACTTGGCAGCACATTGCTTAACAATTGTGCGTTTCAAATGACCATAGCTCGAGATGGTGCCTCTCGCGTAATAGTAGTCGGCGAGTAGTGCACCGTTAAAATTATCGCGGCCAATTACCGCGCCGCAACTAAATATGGAATACTATATCTCCATGTGTTGTTACCTCGCAATTGCCCGGCAATACAATTCGTCCGGGCCGCCAGGCGTCCCGGGGTATATTATGTGAAAATGCGATTTAGACCGCGCCACTTACAATTTCGAGCGTTGGCCCTAATCGACTAGCTAATTACACGCGCTCACTCGCGAGAGCGAGCGCGGGCGCATTTACCTTGTAAGACTGAAGATGATTAACGACGCAGGTGAAGGAGACGTCGCGACCTTGAGTGACCGTGTGGTTTTCCAGGAGTGCCAGAAATTCGGGCAGGATCTCGGACTTGGACTGCGTTTGACCTGAATTATGCAATTAACGATTATGCGCCGCGCGCGACTAACGATCCACGAAGTTAATCCTTAATTAGCACTCGGCCAACTTGCCGACGCCGCCGACGCCGATACGTCGCCGTAACGAATATGATATATGATACGGCGGCGTATATTAGGGAAATTTCGGGGAAACGGCTGCCGAATACGGGAATGCCCATCATCTTTTTGCGTGCCGCGCGCGGCAAAATTTAATCTGAATCGCCGCGTTATTTATGCGCGTAATGCGAGCGACCGCTCGGCCACGTCACCGCGCGATAATCACAATTCTTTCTGTGCGTCGTATGCGCTTGATGTACCGTTGGCGTCTCCCATCCCGCACGAGATGACCCAGAAAATCTCAATTTTAAATAGAAATTAATTCTGAAATGCAGATCTCCTTTATTATGTTAAGCGCGATCTGATTATATTACTTTTTATTTCGCTTATAAATAAAAATATATGTCACATTTAATTGTTACGTTTGCCCCAAATTCACGTATACGTTTCTGTTATAATAAAATGGGGAAGGTATACCTTCCCCATTTCATTATTTTATAAGTACGGTACAGCTTGATGGTAGTTTTTATTATCGTGGCACGTGGATATTTGGAAAAGTCAATACGCCGCAAAGTATGTTATTATCCGTCCGAATTCTCTCGTAGACCCTACAATCCCCGGAGATCACGCAGGACGATATTCACCCTTCGCGTTCGCCCGCGGCGGATTACTCGTTCAACGCGACGTCACGTTTTTCACGCGGCAGTCACGCATTGATCATCCCCGCAATAACAGAATGGATATCTAATGGGTGAAAAAAACGGGGAAATGTATTCTTCCTGTATCCTTCTAACTTCTCGAAGCGAGCACGCGAGCACGAAGGAAAGGGGAGAAAGTTTCCGCGAGAAACGGGGTGTTTATTAATCACGTGGAACACGGCCGAGCGAAAGTTCGCTGACTTGTGGAGTAATCATCATCTATCATGATCTATCGCGTGGAAAAGCTGCCCCGAAGACCAGGTAGTATTTTTGCTAGTCCGCACATGCGGGTCGGGTGCTCGACGACTTATGCATTACGATTTATGCCTCTTGCGCAAATTGAGAAATCAACCGACTGCGAGTATCGTTTTCGAAAGAAAACTCCGATGATAACATGATGGAGATTGAAATTCTCGAAACTCACGTCAATTATAGGCATTTGTCATATCTCTCGTAACTTATTTTGTCGCTACTATTTTCTGTCATATAAATCCAATTTATTTTTCATTCTTGGAAAAAATAAATTTTCCTCAAAAAGAAATACAATAACAATTTTTTTATTTCTCCCTGCATTTGTAATGCGATTTCGTGCAAATATCTTACGTATTCTTAAATTTGAAAATTAAATGCTGTTTCTTTCAAATGCAGTGCGCGATAACAATAATAAATAAATAAATGTAGCGATGGAACGCGAGCATCTCTCGTCGCCCACCCGAGGCAAGAGAAAAGTCGGCGGCTTGTACCACTTTGCAATTCCTGCTTCTTTTCAAGCGGGGATTCTTTTTAAGCTCTCGCGGAAAGGCGAAACTACCGATAGCGATGCCTGTGCAAGGATTCTATTTGATTCTTACCGAAACTGGAGCAAAGAACAGCGGCACAAAAGTAACGGCACGATACACCGTGGGCGTTCGCGGGCGAGGAAAGAAGAATTCTGTCATTTCGTGCGGATTAAAAAACTTGTAACTTTTGCCAAGTCGTAACCCGATCGATTCCTCTTCCCGCTCTTCGAAGATCTGCGGGCACACTTACCTTTTCGAGGCGGTATATTCGGTATATCTTACCGAGACTGACGTGGAGGAAGGCGGCGACAAGGATGCACAGTTCCGCGATGTTCCGCGATGCCATGCCATAGGGTAAGCCATACGCCATACGTACTGCAAGCAGAAAGTTGTGAAACATTTATTAAACAGACAAAACTCCACTCAAGACGTTTCTTCGGAACGAATTAAAATTTCTACCAATAGCGTATTGAATCTCGCGAGCGAGACACTCTGCGAGAAACGACTTTGAGCGAGAAAAGAGGGTGGTCGGAATCGGGATTTTCGCGTCGTCGACGCGTGCTCCGGATAAGGGTGGGTTCCAGCCCCGAATCGCGTGAATATTACTCGACAGTTGGTCGCCACATAAACGCCAAGCTGATATATCCTCCGTTTGCCGTTCTCTCTCTTTCTCTCTCTCTCTCTCTCTCTCTCTCGTCGTCTCTCTCTCTCTCTCTCTCTCTCTCTCTCTCT